TTATAGTATTTATTTAAAAAAGATCTCTTTGCTTTTGATTTAACTTCATTACGGAAACTTGTATTATTATAGTATTTATTTAAAATATGTATTTTTGCACGTTCGTTATTTTCAGCACGGAAATTTGTATTATTACGATATTTTACTAAAATATGTGTTTGTACCCGAGCCTTTTGTTTTTCACGAAAATCATTGTTATTATGATATTTATTTCGAAAGTATTTTGTTACACGTTCATTTTTTTGTTCTCGAAATAAAATATTATTACAATATTTTTTTCTGAACCAAACCTTTTGTCTAGTGTGCTTTACAATTGATATTTCGTTACTTATAGTAGCTTCTGACATTTTGTTTTGCTTTCGAATCTGTAATTGTCTTTTCCGTTCATTGTCTAGACGAGAAACTTTTGATACAATTTTTTTAATAATGTCTTTAATAATCTTGTAATCATCAAATTGCTCTTTCACCTTGATCACATCAGAAGACATAGCTTGCATATCTTTATTAACAAAATCGACGCAATGTGAAGGAATTGCATCTGGTTTTAGTTGCCGTTTATAGGCTTCTTTTCTTTTTTTCACTTTTGATAAAGTTGATTTTTTACGAACCATATCTGATGTAATATATGTGATTAAATATTTGAAAATTGAAAACAATTACAGTTTCTCTGTGAGACTAAGCACGTATGTAAACTAAGCACGGCTTAAACTCCTAAGTGAGAAACGTCTATATCTCTTAACTTGATGAGATATTCAAAAGAAAAGTTTCTTTCGAGCTAGATCTTCTTTGTTACTAAGTGAAGATATAGTCGACACTAAGTAAGAAACTTCAGAAAGTCTAAAACTAGGCGACTTTCTTTAAATAAAACTTTCAAATCGTTATTCTTTTGCTGTGTAATAATAATTACAATCAAAAGAGAAGTTTCTTTCGAGTTAGATCTTCTTTATTACTAAGCGAAGATATACTCGATACTAAGCAAGAAACTTCAGAAAGTCAATAACTTGGCGAGTTTCTTTCAATGAAACTTTCAATTTATTGTTATTTTTTTTTATGTAATAATAGTTATGACGAATGAAATCTAAAATATAGTTAAAAAAAAATACAAAATCAATAAGATAAGGTGAAGTAAAGGATTAAAATGTGTTCAATGTAGTCCTTAAAAAATTATTAAGACAAATTTTATTTATTTATATAATTAAATATAATAGACATCAAACTCTATAACTACGAAACTTTTCAGTACATAAAAAAAGAAAGACCAGTAAACAATATTACTTTCTGCACAAAAAAAAGCATTGATACTAATGATAATCAAATAAAAAAAAAAAAAATAACTTCATTCCTCTTTTTCCACCACGTCGGGCATCACGAGTCAGAACACCTTCACCATATGATAAATGATTATAAAGTGCTGAAGGATAACCACTTGATTAATAACTTGTCGGTGAAGCAGCTGTTGGATATGTTGGTCGAAATGTACGTGGAAAAGAACGATGTTTTTTACTTTCAACATTTATTTTTTCTATTTTTAAAAGATAATCATGATTAGCTACAAAATCTTTTGCCATTTCAATGGATTGATAAACAACAAAAGCAAAATTTACTACACCAACTTGAGAACCTGCATTACTAATACGAACAAGGAGATTACTATATGGTCGAAATATTTCAATAATCTAAATTTCAAATAATTCATTAATAAACATCATAACAAAATCTAAAGAAGAAAAATACTTTAATGAAATTAATAAATGAATATAAAATTTTACTCAGGCGGTAGTGGAATATATTGTTCATATTGTTTATCTTCATCATCTTATTTTCCAATTGAACATTATAATGGATTTGGTGATGATGATCCTATAGACGATTGAGATGGTGTCCCTGTTGTACAGAGATTAATATTTGAATCAATTAATATTGCATAAGAACTATTTGTTGAACATGTATCTAGAAAAAATATTGTCATAAAAAACTGCTATATCGATTTAATTAATGATATATGAAATATGAGACTTGATGAAAATTTCGAACGCATCATAATTTTCCGCACCGAATCCGAGATTTCTATTTCAAAAAGGTTGATGAAATCTATAGACATCCTTATTCTGTATGACATTGTTTTCAATAACTTCCAAAATTCAAAAAAGAACTGAACATATTTTTACATTTGTTTCTACATAATTCCAAATCTCAACTGGGAATGAAAGAAACTTAATTCATTCTTCAGTTTTCACTAAATCCAGAGATTGAGAACATCAGCTTGATAATTTTTATTCCGCATAGGAAGCATATCATTAGAATATGTTAAATACCGATATAATTAATATAAAATATGGTCTTCTGGTAGAGTCCATCAATTCCAAAATAATTTCAATGAAATGTTTTAGTCTAAATCTGATAATTCCTCCGAAAATGCGAGATACTTTTTATCGGTTATTTATCTCCTGTGACTTACTCGTTCTACATATTTCTTACGTAACCTTGATGATCATATTATAATAATTAAGTCATAATTGACTATTAATTTTAGAGCATGGCCCATTGGATTGGATCAAGGACTGACCTGACGGGCTTTACTACCAAGATGCTATTGAAAAACATCAACTAATTAAAAATGTTTTATAATTAAAAAGAACTTTTCAGTAAAAAACTTATGACAAACCCGGTTCGTCTAATTTCTTTATTTTATATTTATTTTTTATAGTACATTGATGCTTTGAATGATGTTGTGCTCTAATAAATAAACATTAAATAATTCTATTTCTTTCGTCTACTGCTGATGCATAAAAAACAAACATTGAACTTGAGTTATGTTCATAATTAAGTTTGTTAATGTTCTCATCAATTTTAATTGAAGAATAAAGTATAAATGCAAATAATGTTGATCGCGTATGAAATAAACGAGTATAACTTAAATATTTTCCACTTTACAATTTAAACCATCATGGATCTATTTGAAATTATTTACATTGAAAACAAAATTCAATTTTACTAGATGTTGAATTTAATATTTAACAGCTAAAAAGTTGGTCATTTTCTTTTAACTTCTTATAATCAATATTAAAATAGATAAGATAATCAATTGAAGAAAATGTATATAATATTTTATAGTTCATGAGAATGATGATTGAGAATCGATAAGATTAACACCTGTTGTTAAAGATGAGTACATATCGTTTTATTGCTTGTTCATCATAAACTGATAATAACATCATGAGGAATTCATGACTTGAACTCCTTAGTGACGAGCGGCTGTCTCTTAACCTGACGACATTATCAAAATGAAAATTTCTTTCGATCTAAATCTTCTTCAATAATCGAAGAAGACATACTCGACAATTAGTAAAAAACTTCAAGGTCAAAAACTTGGGGACTTTCTTTCAATAGAACCATTAATTTATTGTTTTTTTTTGTAGACATGAAACTCTATAACTATGAAATATTTCACTACATGAAAAAAGACCAATAACCAACTACTTGGAACTTTTTATTTTTAATCAACTGCATCTCGATATTTTTTCGGTTTTGATGTTTGCTTTTGTTCTTCAACTTTTCCTTATTCAACAACTGGTGTTACTGATGAAGCTATATTTCCCGTTAAAGAAACATTCATTTCAGTTTTACTGCTCTCTTTTCAGTCACTGTGTTATCGAAAAATTCTATATTATGAGGAGCTGTTGACGTTAATGATGTTTCAATCACTGTTGATGAAGTTATTGTAATGGGAAGTTTTACATCATGTCACTGGAAAAAAAAATTGCAAATTAGTTGTCCAGTGAATAAACATTTCATTGTATTAGTAAAATTGAATAAAAATTTTTTGTTTATAAAATTTATTTTGAGAGAAAAACGGATTTAATTTCTGAACAACTGTTTTAGTATTGAATTATCATACAGAGATTATTTAATTCGAAATAAAACATTGATATATGACAAGTCAGTCCTTTAAACTAATATCCACACCAAACTTAAAGGTACTGGGTTAAAAATTGAGCTAATCAGAAATTCAAACTACTATCAATTTGTGCTTGTCATCAGATGATAGCAAGACGTAGCAGGAGATACAAGTTTATAGAAAATCTAAGGGCTAGACAATCGATTATACTTAGGTCTGACCAAAAGTTCTGCAATCTTTAAATAAAAATACAAAGATGCAGAGATATTTTTAATTTTATTTTATCAAATGTTGAGGATAGTTGTCATGATTATTTATATCAAGTTCAATTCTTTCTAACAATTTATTAAAAATTTTTTTGAACTGTTTTTCGAAAAAAATTTTAGCTGCTTTGGATACCGCATGAAGATATAATATTTTATTTATTTAATCAATTAAACTCTCTTCGATAGAACTACTTAATCAAAGATTAGGTAGTACTAGGTACAGCGAATATGACTGCTGCGGCATTATATTAATGCCCTCTTCTGTCAAATAATTAATAGCATCGGATGAGTGTGAAGTCAACGATAATCCTCAAGCAGTTTTATACATTTTGCACTTTATATCTCTTTTTGTTTTTATATTACATTTACAAAAGACTTCAAATGTTTTTCAATATAATAATTGTAACGTACTATCATGCCTTTATCTACACTCAGGGCTATTTGATTTAAAGCATATGTCTAACAAAGTTTGTGTTCAAACATATCTCCATGAACAATAGTCTTTGACGATTCATCTTCAATAAGCCAGCTAGAATCAGGTGACTTATCATTAATCTATATAAAATAAATCTATACTTCGTCACTAGCACTACTAGAACGCAAATGACAACATCTGACAAAACTGCATTAAAATTTTTTAAAAAATGAAACACAATTAGCTCATGCGGTATCCAAGGTAGCCAAATTGTTTTTTGAAAAACAGTTCGAAAAAACTTTTAATAAGTTGTTAGAAAGAATTGAACTTGATATAAATAAACATGGCAACTATCCTCAACATTAGATAAAATAAAATTAAAAATATCTCTGCATCTTTGTATTTTTATTTAAAGATTGCAGAACTTTTGGTCAGACCTAAGTAATACTTAGTTCATGGAATGTTTGAAAGAAGTGGTCCATTTTCTTATATAATTTGAAGAAATCAAACTGAAATTTTCAACATACATTTCCCCACTATACCCCGATGTTCTCGGGAAAATATGATCGATAATTCTTATAATGTCATGCAATTGTCGTTTAAACAAGAAGAAGCAGCGAAGATCACCTTTATCGAATATATTAATATTTGGATTCGTTAAACAGTAATTATTTGCATTCTTGTCGTGTTCGGTTATCAATATTTACTCGACATGAACCGTCATCTGCATCACGTTAATATCTTAGCCGAAATGAATTAACTTTATTACGAATCTATAAAAAAAAAGAATTTCTATTATAGAATTTCATGAAAAAAAATTTAAACCTCATCTTGATTCATTGATTTTGTACAATTCTCACATTCAATCAAAAAATGAATATTGTCTTGACTAAATTCTGCTTTCTTTAAAAATTTTATAAATACATTTAAACCGATATTATCATTAAGTAATTTTTCGAAACAAACTGTTCATGATGTTCCTGTACAATGTTGTTCATTTAATTAAATTGAATCTTCATTAATACTTGTTTTATATTGTAATGATAGTTCGTTCTTCATTATTAATTTCTGTTAAAGACTGATGAAAACAAAAAAAAATTAACCATAGAATTTAAAGAAAAATTTATAAACATACATAAACAATTTTTAAAATATAAGCTGAAGCAAAACGTCCTCGTAAATCTTCAACAGATGGTGGAGAATCAGCAAATCAATGATCACGAGGATGATGATCAACTCATAAAAATTGGCCCGTTTTTCATGTTGATGTTGAACAAGTTCTTCTTAATTTATTATCATGTAATTCACCATCGAATAAAGATGATGAACATGAACACGAACATACTACTGGACAAGAGTTATAATCTTGTCAAAATCCAAAAAAAAAAGAAAAATATTTTGCTGAAATTAACAATTGAATATAAAGTTTGCAAGATTCAATTTTATTTAATGTTGAATTAAATTTTTAAAATTTAACAAATTTTTAATTTTCTTGTAGCTAACTCTTTTTAATTTTCATTATTATGATAAATATCAAAATAACTAACATAATCAATTAAAGAAAATGTATATAATGTTTGACGATTAAATACTGATGATGAATGACAATTAATAACATTAGTACTTGGTGTTAAAGATGAATCCATATCTTTCAATAAAACAATATAATTTACTTATGATAATAACATTTAAAGATTTGTATTTATGAAACTTTCGAGAAATGTTTACGATTTATATTAGACAAGGATTTTTGATAACATTCATCTAATTAAATCTACTCGACATATGAAACTCGATAACTATGAAACCTCTACGAAGACTTAGAATTGATTTTCTAAGAAAACAAATATATGCATCGATATGTTTAATATATGAAGAGAACTCTATAAGCACCTACCAATAGTTTTGTAATGAAGACAATTAATTGATTGATCGATTGATTTTCTTTCAGATTCATTATTTATGATCAGCTGCTTTCACATCTGTTTGACATATGAGAAAGAAGAGAGTGCCGCCGAACTTTCTTTCCTATTTTCGATTTTAATTATCTCAAAACGAAGAATGCAATATTTGTCATTTTCGGAAGCTATTTCTGAGGAAGCTAAAAGTGCTTTGACAACAAAATCAATGGATAGTCTTGGTTCGATCTCGATACTAGTACCTCGCGTTTGAACTATTATTTTTGGAGTTTCTGTTCTGAAGATAATCGTGAGAGAAAATGGCAACCTTTAAAGTGAAATTAAATATTTCGAAGCTTGAAAAACACTAAGTCCTTAAAAGCTGGCTGTTTTTGGACGCTATTTGTAAGCGAATGGAACATGTTTTCGTCGATTTGAAAACAAAAGGTATCAATTTGATCTCGATAGTTTTATCTCGCGTTTGAACGATTGTTTTCTGACTTTCCGTTCTCGAGATCATTCGAACAGAAAATGACAACTTTTATGCGTACGTCGAGAAAGTAAAACTAGATGGTATTCGAGTTTCGACTCGAATACGAAATGCGGTGCGAAGCACACGTGCGGAGAATTCGAAAAACGAATTTTGAATCGAAATCGAATAATCTCTCTGAATATCATCACAATTTGTTCTCACATTCTACGTCAAGGTTCAGAGATAATTTAAGATTTTTCTGAGTTAGATACAATCGAAGAAAAAAAACATTTTTATCGAACAGCTGATCTAACGTAGATCGGACCTGAAAGGCATCCATTATGAAATTGATCACTAGAGGAACTCTACTAAAGCGTATCGACAGACTTCTAGAAACTGTTGTTTATTGATCGATTAATTATCTCAATGATTCATTATCTACTATCAGCTGTATTTACAGCTGTTTGACATATGAGAAAAGTAAATGGCGCCTAACTTTGTTTTATTTTTTCAATTTTAATTGTCTCAAAACGAAAAGCAAATAAATAATTTCATATTTGTCATTTTTGGAAACCGATTATGAGAAAATTAAGCATCTTCAGAACAATATCAATACAAAAGTTACGTGTTCGATCTCGATACTTTGGCTTTGCGTTTAAACGACTGTTTTGTGAGTTTCCATTTTCGAGATCATTGCGTGACAAAATGACAAGTTTGATGCGTACGTATAGTAAAAAAGAAAGAAAAAAAAAACCTCGCGACGGACTACATAAATGCAGTGCTTCGCACCGCATTAAAAAAAGTAAACTCGCGACGGACTACATAAATGATCCTGCTTCGCAGGGCATCAAAAATTCATTATCTTCTATCAGCTGTAATTTACAGCTGTTCAATATAGATCTAAACAATGTGGCGCCTAACATTGCTTTGTATTTTCGATTTTAATTATCTCAAAAGTAAACTTTGTCAAAATCGTGTTTTTGGGAGGCCTTTTTTGTGCGAAGCAGACGTCCGATTGAAGATTGTAAAAAAAATTGAAGAATTTCAATCTCGATACTTTAGGCTTGCGCTTGAACGAATAAATTGCGAATTGTGGTTCTCGAGATCATTGCGACACAAAACAACGAGTTGATGTGCGTACGTCGAGAAAGTAAAAGAAACTAGATGGTATTCGAGTTTCGACTCGAATACGAAATGCGGTGCGAAGCACACGTGCGGAGAATTCGAAAAACGAATTTCGAATCGAAATCGAATAATCTCTCTGAATATCATCACAATTTCTTCTCACATTCTACGTCAAGGTTCAGAGATAATTGAAGATTTTTCTGAGTTAGATACAATTGAAGAAAAAAAACATTTTTATCGAACAGCTGATCTAACGTAGATCGGACCTGAAAGGCATCCATTATGAAATTGATCACAAGAGGAACTCTACTAAAGCGTATCGACAGACTTCTAAAAACTGTTGTTTATTGATCGATTAATTATCTCAATGATTCATTATCTACTATCAGCTGTATTTACAGCTGTTTGACATATGAGAAAAGTAAATAGCGCCTAACTTTGTTTTATTTTTTCAATTTTAATTATCTCAAAACGAAAAGCAAATAAATAATTTCATATTTGTCATTTTTGGAAACCGATTATGAGGAAATTAAGCATTTTCAGAACAATATCAATACAAAAGTTACGTGCTCGATCTCGATACTTTCGGTTTGCGTTTCAACGACTGTTTTGTGAGTTTCCATTTTCGAGATCATTCGGTGACAAAATGACAAGTTTGATGCGTACGTATAGTAAAAAAGAAAGAAAAAAAAAAAACTCGCGACGGACTACATAAATGCAGTGCTTCGCACCGCATTAAAAACTCGCGACGGACTACATAAATGCTCCTGCTTCGCAGCGCATTAAAAATTGATTATCTTCTATCAGCTGTAATTTACAGCTGTTCAATATAGATCTAAACAATGTGGCGCCTAACATTGCTTTGTATTTTCGATTTTAATTATCTCAAAAGTGAACTTTGTCAAAATCGTGTTTTTGGAAGGCCTTTTTTGTGCGAAGCAGACGTCCGATTGCAGATTGTAAAAAGAATTGAAGTATTTCAATCTCGATACTTTAGGCTTGCGTTTGAACGAATAATTTACGAATTGTGGTTCTCGAGATCATTGCGACACAAAACAACGAGTTGATGTGCGTACGTCGAGAAAGTAAAAGAAAAACTAGATGGTATTCGAGCTTCGCTTCGAATACGAAATGCCCTGCGAAGCACGAATCTCTCGAACCTTCGAAAAAACGTATTTCGAGTCGAATTCGAATAATCGCTCTAAATATGATCGCAATTTGTTCTCACATTCTACGTCAAACTTCAAAGATAATTGAAGATGTTTCTGAGTTAGGCCCCGAACTGACTGAAAAAAATAAAACAAATTAAGCAACGTGATTGGTCTACTTCGATTTAAATCGTCTTTTTGAGACGATTTATTCGTTAATTCCGTTTTAATTCACTTTGAATTAGTCAGTCTGTTCGGGGCCTTAGGGATAATCAATAAAAAAACATTTTTATCGATCAGCTGATCTAACCTAGATCCGACATGAAAGTCATCCATTATAAAATTCATCACTAGAGAAACTCTCTGAAAACGTATCGATAGATTTCTATAAGTTGTTTTCTGTTGATCGATTAATTATCTCAATGATTCATTATCTATAATCAGCTGTATCGCAGCTGTCTTCTATTCAAAAAGAAAAAAGATTGGCGCCTAACTTCTCTTTCACTTTTCGTTTTAATTATCTCAAAGCTAAAATTGTTCAAAATCGTCTTTTTGGAAGCCAGTTTATGAGAAGATTGGGGGTCTTTTGGATAATCTGATCAAAGATTTCACGGGTTCGATGTCGATTCTTACAGTTCCCATTTCAACGGAATTTTTCTGACGTTCCGTTCTCGAGATCATCGCGACACAAAATGACGAGTTGATATGCGTACGTCGAGAAAGTAAAAGAAAAACTAGATGGTATTCGAGTTTCGACTCGAATACGAAATGCCTTGCGAAGCACGAATCTCTCGAATCTTCGAAAAAACGAATTTCGAGTCGAATTCGAATAATCACTCTAAATATGATCGCAATTTGTTCTCACATTCTACGTCACACTTCAAAGATAATTGAAGATGTTTCTGAGTTAGGGATAATCAATAAAAAAAACATTTTTATCGATCAGCTGATCTAACGTAGATCCGACATGAAAGTCATCCATTATAAAATTCATCACTA